GCCTCCTTCCTACAGACCACGGACCCAGGGCTGCTGGAGGAGCCTGATGGCTGGCCTCCTTCCTACGGACCACGGACCTAGGGCTGCTGGAGGAGCCTGATGGCTAGCCTCCTTCCTACAGACCACGGACCTAGGGCTGCTGGAGGAGCCTGAGGGCCAGCCTCCTTCCTACAGACCACGGACCCAGGGCTGCTGGAGGAGCCTGATGGCTGGCCTCCTTCCTACGGACCACGGACCTAGGGCTGCTGGAGGAGCCTGATGGCTAGCCTCCTTCCTACAGACCACGGACCTAGGGCTGCTGGAGGAGCCTGATGGCCCGCCTCCTTCCTACAGACCACGGACCCAGGGCTGCTGGAGGAGCCTGATGGCTGGCCTCCTTCCTACGGACCACGGACCTAGGGCTGCTGGAGGAGCCTGATGGCTAGCCTCCTTCCTACAGACCACGGACCTAGGGCTGCTGGAGGAGCCTGATGGCTAGCCTCCTTCCTACAGACCACGGACCTAGGGCTGCAGAGACTTATTACCCCGGAGAACTTTGTTTGCTGCGTGTTTCCAGTTTAATATTTCATCTAGAGAGAGAACTTGTCACTATTTGATGTGAACCATTCTTCTATAGGTAGCAGGCTGTCTGGGGGAGGGGCCATTGTTTGCAATGATGGGATTAAGCTCCTCTCTAATTAAGGACATTCATCCCAAAGAGTGTCTGGGCTTCAAAGACTTCCAATGCGGCACCCGGCTGTCTGGGGGAGGGGACACACTGCACTCCTATCTCATCCTGTCAGGTATAAACTCTGTGCGCTTCCTTCAATAAAGCAGATCTTGGTTTCCACCTCAACATTGGTGTTGTCTGATGATTGGGGGGTTCGCGTTCTGTCCTAAGATATTGGTTCTGTCCAATAATTAGGCAGGTTTGGGCTGAGGACACTGGGATTCGGGTTCCAGCGGAGAGGAAGCTGATTTCTGACGGAGGTACCCAGTCGGTGGTACCAGGCGGTCCGTCACAGCCCTCACGCATTCGGCCGCAGCCAGATACTTACAGGGATTTTGTACCGCTCCCGGACGGACGCCCGCATTGCCATAGATACAGGGGGGCAAATGGGAGAGCAGCCCAGGCAGCCCGTGTCCAGCATGGGGAGACACAGACACTCGCCGTGCTCATTCACCGTAGCACACAAGAAGCAGGGGAAGCACCAGTAGGCAAAACAACCTGAGGAGAGACGGGAGAGGGTGAGAGGCGGAGAAGAGGCATGTCTAGAGAAATGAGAGGTCGTACATGATGAAGGG